CAGACAGACACAGACAGACGCAGACAGACACAGACAGACGCAGACAGACACAGACAGACACAGACACAGACAGAGACACAGACAGAGACACAGACACAGACACAGAGAGAGACAGACAGAGAGAGAGACAGAGAGAGAGAGTAGGTGATCAGGCATTGAACAAACCTGGATCCCTCAACAGGCCAATCCATCCAACTCTAGCAGGAAAGTGGGGGATGGCCCCCCCAAAAGAATCAAAAGGATTGTCCGCAACAAATTGGGTCTGTTCAGCTTGCATGTTCTTTCCACACCACTTGAACCCGTGCGCCTACCTGCTCAACGCCATCAGGCTGTGCAGAGGTCTAAGCGCGCAGCGCGGCGTCCAGACGAAGCGCGGATGCGCGGAGGAACGAGGTGGGACGGGTTCCGGACGAGTTCCGAAGACATGTTGGATCGTCATGCTGAGCTACGTCTCACGTGCTGGTTGGTTGAGTGGAGTGTTCTTGGGCAAACAACCGTCAGCGAGTGGAGTGGGAAGGACTCAGCCCCTCTTCAGGGAGCGACGAGAAACGATGCCAGGCGTGAAGATTGGAAGCTGAAGACTCCGCGAGGGTGTCGGAGAAAAAAGCGCCCTGCGGGGGTCCGGAAACATGCTCTGGAGAAGGCCCAACAAGATGAAGCAGAAGACATCACATAGTACAAACAGCTTAGCCTCAGGGCGTGAGGGTTTTCATGGCCAGATGGAGGGTCTCGTTTCTGAGAGATTTGAGAGTGAAAACAAGAGAGACTAAAATAGCATCGGACACGTGAGACTTGGGTGGTAGAGGAAAATAGTCGTCCAAAGGTCCATTTTGAGGTTCCATGTGGGTCTCCTCCCGGGTGTAGTCCTTTTGTCAAACTGGCTGACCTGCAAGTAACAGTAGTACCAGCCAGAGGTGTTATCTTGGAACCATGAGAGCCCCTGCAACTTTTGAGACATGTGTTGATTTCGAAACGGTTTTACCATAATGGCAGGCATGTGAAAAGGTTCCAAACTGCTCCAAAAGGTCAATTCAGGTTCTTCTTTCACGACTTGAGGTGACCACTTGACTTGTGTTTTCCTTTGTTCAGGGTGCCTGGAAGGAATTGGCTTGGACGGTGAAATCGCCTGTGCTCCAGGCTAGGAGCAGGAGGTTCCTAGCACGCATCCAGTTTCTCCCCGAGGTCCGCGGCCGGTACGGCATTGCCGACTTGGTGTCCGAAACGCAGGTGGATTGGATCGAGGATCGATGGTTTGTTTCGGCTCGGGACTTCCCTTGCTACTAGTAATTCGTTTCTTGTTACGGACGTAGCGATGGCCTCCAAGCAGCGATGACCTCCACCGTGCGTAGCTTCTTGTTCCTTGATTGCTTGAAAAAAGGGGTTTAGGATTTTGATGGATGTTGGAAAGAGGAGGAACTGGCTGTCTTTTTCAGACTCGTCTTAATGCGCTTCCATGACATTCCATTGTTTGGCAATTCTTTCTTTAATACGAACCGAACCGTCTAATGTATCGATGTGACATCGAACATTGCGTTTCAGCACCTAAGAGACCTTGAAAGGTCGTGTGTCCCAGATCGTCCACGGATTCCATGGATCCTCCATGGGTTCCGAACACGGAACCGGATCTCCAACGGCTGGGTGGGTTGAGAAACGCTGGACGTCTTGGCTAGGTGAAGTCCATGGCAGATCAGCCCTTGACAGTCTCCACCACTGGCAGCCTGAAGAGCCACGATCGCCAGGCGGGGGCGGCAGCCTGGAGATCGCCCTGGGTTCCTGGGAACTCGTCTGGGAAGAACGTGAGGAACGTGAGGAGACCAGCATGGAGATCCATGGAGTGCCCCAGAAAGTCATCCTTTCGGTGGGTGCGATGGAGGAAGATGGGCCTGAGAAGGAGAAGGAGGGATACGGAGAGGCTTTGTGGCTTTCATTTCAAGAAGCCACTAGCGGAGGAGCCCAGGTGTTTGGATTGCAGTGCACCAACACAGATCCCTGCAAAGGATGCTTTTCGTCTTTCCAAGGGGTCCCCAACCTCTAAACAAATTTTTGGAAGTGGCATGCGTGTATTGGAACAGGGAGACCCCTGAAAGCCTGTAAGGAG